TGAGCACGTCTGCCAAGGGCTTCCGCCAGCCTACTGTCCACGTCTGATCCATCTGCTGTCCCGGGGGACAGCAGTCCCACCCGCTTAGCCCCACAATGGGCACTCTTGACCAGCATATTTGGGTGATGTAGAAAATACGAAGGCAGAAGTGTCAGAAGTAATTAAACCAAACGATGGCTTAAGCCCCTGTAGAAATCAACGCATCCGGTTTAATCACCTTCTTAAGCTAGCACAAGGCTGCAATTCTATGGAGAGGGCTTCTTTATTTCTTTGGATCGTTAACAGGAACTGCATACCTTGAGCTTGATTTTAGTTCGGATGCTCCTGGGGAGAGGTGATGAGGGTGGGGGTGGGGCTGGGGGCTCAGAAGAGAGAAAAGAAATAATAAAATGTTATTTGAGATCATCCCTTCTTCCCCTCTCCCGGAGACTAGCCTTGTCTCTCCCGCCCTCCTGCCTCTGTCCGCGCTCCCAGCACCCAGGCGGAGGCACAGTGCTGAATGTGCTAAATTAGGCCATTAGAGAAATTCATTTCTCTTTATTAGTCTGTGTCAAATCCTTTTTATTAGTGGCTGGAAACGACCTCTCTTCTGCAGTAAAATGTCATGCCAGTTCACTCCTTTTATTTGTTCTGCACTGACGAGGCTCAAACTCTCACTGAATTAGTGCAGTGAGATTTATTTCCTCCAAATTTTGAACGGCTTAAGAGAGATTGGGGTGGAGGGGGCGGTCAGGAGGGAGGTGGCCTGTGGGGAACAGAGTTGGGAAGGGATGGGGAGGGAGAAGGTGAGCTCCCGTGGAGGTCAAATGTGCTCTGCTCTTTGGAAATAAAGTCTAATGGCCATCTCTCGTATCTTGTTCATCCTCTGGGCCCTGGGGACTAAATTCCCACACTCCTGCTTCAAGCTTCTGAAGGATGTTGATGCACAGCCAAATGAACCTGGACAGTAGGAAGAAGGGCTCCTTAAAACCTATGTTCTTGAGCTGGGCATATGTAGCTCATTAGGAAAGCACTTGTCTCCTAGGCATGAGACCCTAAGTTTGGTCACCAGCACTGAAAAACAAATATTTTAACTGGACAAATTGACAGGCTGAAAACCAAGGTCATATATGTGTACATGTATATAAATTTCTTTCCCCTGCTCCATCCCAGAGCCATTTCCATCCGGGTTGCTTAGGTATCAGCTTTCATGGACCCTTCCATATTTAAACTCTCCACACACAGAAGCTGCTGGAGAATACTCCTCCATGGGGCCCCGCAGGGGCTGTGGCTTCTTCTCCACGTATGCAAGGATCAGGGAGAGCAGCTTAGAAAATACACGTCAAAACTTAGGCAGGCAAATGCAAAAAGCACAGGTGGCTCATCTTTAAATGCTCTGGGGACGGTCTTAGGGAAGTCCCAAGGCCGTGGCTGCAGCCCTGGATCCCATCAGGGGTCACTGGTTACTTGAATCTGTCTCAGAGGTCATGTAGCCTTAGCTGTCCCCATGCAAGGAGGGGATTAGTTCTTTGTGTGAGATAGAAGGGGAGCATGTGGGGTTCTGTAGGATCCACGCCTGGCATGTCACCCAAGGATGGGTTACTGTGTCAGGGGGATGAGGCAGTCACAGGAGCTTGGGGAGGGTGGGATCAGAGAAGGGGGGTTTTGGGTGCTGACAGTGCTCCTCAACTGCCCCGTGCTCAGCCCAGGGAAACCTGAGTTTCCAAGGTAGTAGCTGGAGAGAATCAGCTCCTGCAAGCTGTCCTCTGACCTCTGTATGTGCACACCCCCAATAAACAAACAGGTAAATAAAGAAATGTAATGAAAGATGGGAAAATATTCCCAGAGGATACAAAAAAAAAAGCCCCCCACATCCATTCTAAGGAGTCCTGACACCTGCAAGTGGAAGGTTTGTGATACAGACCCAAACAGTGGCTCTGCAGAGGAGGGTATGTGTTTGACAGCACCTTCTGCCCCGCCCCCGCCCCTGAAAAGCCAGCTCTGTGTCCCTGTCTTGGGCCCACTAAGTACTTCATAACCTGACTCCTTTGGCTCTGTCAGCCACCTCTTTTCTGCTCCTCTCCTACCCCGCCCCCCTCACTATTACACTTGGCTGTGTCAGCCACCACAGAGTGCTTTGCTTTCCCTCCCCCTGCTGGTAACACCTCTCCTCAGCCTTTTGCATGGCTGCCACCTCATCATTCAGGGCTTAACTTAAATGTCACCTCCTCAGAGAGGCCCTCCCTGACCATTCTAAGGAAAGCTGCTTGCTCCTCCCTGCGGAGGCAAGAGTTGGAGCAGAGGAAACCTCTCCGACTCAAAATGCATGTAGCTGGAGCACTGAATTCCAACACAGAAAACACAACTCTGCATATATTACATATGGGGAAAGGCATACGCTAGACTCATGGCATACCCCCCCCCCCCCCCCAGTTTCATGTACACAGCTCTATGTGCCTATGTACTGAATGAACACAGTGTCACATGCACACATAGCCAAGCAAACATGCTGGCCTAGGACAAACACTTGCTCTATGGCGTGACTGCTGTCAACGCCAGCACCCTTCCACCATTTGTTTGGTAGCCGGCCACCCTCCCTTCAGCCAGTGAGGAAGGAACTCACAGTGACCGAATGGCTGCTGTGGGTTGGGGCATGGGCTGCACCCCCACCACCTGGCACGATGCTTCGGATTATTAGTTCCTGGTAATTTAGTGCCCTTGTACAGAGTCGATTTGTGCCTTTCATTCCTAATTGATCTAGTGGCTGTTTAAATGGCAGCAGGCATCTGTTGAGAGTAGGAAGGTTCATAAGGCGCAATAATTCATAACACCGTCTGGAATTTGCCTTTCATGGCCCTCAGCTAAACCACTGCAGGGCTCTGCTTAAATTACAGCCACTGAGGCTTTCTTTGGTATTCCACTCAGGGCCAGGAGAATCTTGCATTAAACTGGGATCAGGTTAGATTAGACTATAATATGCCGCAGTATTGGAGGCTGCAAATGAAGACTTATACTGGAGTTTAACCCCTTCACCTGATGTTCTCTTTGTCTTCAGCTGGGTAGCCAAATTCACCCATTGTTTTTCTTTGTCAGCTCTTTACTGGCTACAGCAGAGCTTCTGGCAAGGCTGGGAGGCACAGGAGCAAACCTGAAATGCTGGCCCTCTTTCTTGACTGCTCTAAGCCCAGTACACAGCCTTGGGACCCGGTAGTTTATGCAGCAGGCCCTCTAAACAAGGATGAGCCAGTCCTTTACTTAAGTGGAAAGACCTAGGCAAGCTGAGTGTGAGTTCAAGAGGCTAAGCCCTCCCTCTCTGTTTCTGCCCAGAATTGTTAGGATTCTGGGTAGGACAGATATAAGGGCTTTCCCCCAGCGCGCTGACAGAGGCTGAACCACTGTGCTGGCGTGGTGCTTACTTCTGCTCTCAGTACAGCCTCTTGGGGAGGGAGTAATGTCTAGTTTCCTTTTCAGGACTTACTCTGTTCTTCAATATGGTGGTCATTAGCCACATGTGACTATTTGAATTTGAATTAATTAAAATTCAATAAAATTAAAGATTCAATATCTTAGTTTCACTGGCCATATTTCAAGTGCTCATTGGCCTCAAGTGGCTAGTGGTTCGTGTGTTGGATGATGCTAACTGCGGAACATTTGCATTACTGCACAAAGTTCTGTTGGACAGTGCTAGCCCAGAGCATCCCTGTGGCAGAGGACCAACAGCCAGGTCCAACACACTTCCTCTTCCTCTCCTGTGAAACAGTACTGCATAGAAAATAAAGAAGCAGATGCTGTGGCTCAGGAATCTGAGAAGACAGACCAGGCTGTGCAGATGCTTTCTTGAAAGAACAGGGGAAGGGACTGGGGCTCTCTCTATTCCAGAGGCAACAACCTAGGCACAAAAGAAAGCAGGTGCTACAAAAATAAGTGTGATGTATGCTTATGTATGCAAATAAGCACGCAAACATACAACATCCGTGTTCAACAAATGTTTGCGAAGATTCACATACTTCTGAAAGACTCTGGATATTTAGGAGTGGATAGATAGATTTGATTGCTGATTAAAGTCTAGGTGGGTACCCAGATAATAAAACAAAAACTCAGATTTGGGAGAGAGGTATAGAAAGAGTGGATAGTGAGGGAAGCTTCCAGGAGATGATGGTCTCTACACTAAAATCCACATATCCTTTCAGCTAAACATTTCTGCTCACATAGACATATCTTAGAAACACATGCACACAAAATTTATTCATTGATTCAGTCACGAGCTATTTATTAAGTGCCTTCTATGAGTATACATGGCAAGATTCTTGGATACAGCAATCATTTACACAGAGGCTGTCCTGGAGAAAAACATATAATGATGCAAATAGCCATTTAATTACAGCTGTACTAAGGATTTGGTGATGGAAGTGTAGAGAGATGCTACAAATGCAACTGGAATATTTGACGAAAATTGAGTCTGCCAACAGACATGGGCATATGTGGGTGAGTTTGGGGGCTCATATGTTCCGCCCTGTGCATAAGAGCAAACACACAAATGTTTATACACTTCTATTGCCCTCAGCTGGCTTCAGATTTTGTGTGTGTGCGTGTGTGTGTTTGTGGCGTTTGTATCCACAATGGACATGCGCAAGATAAAGTACCATAGATGGTGCTTGCACGTCACCTAGCGATAACATTCACATCCAAGTAGCCTCTAGATAGTTCCCACATTCTTTTCCTGGACTCATGCCGAGGCTGAAATGAACATTGTTCTCTTTGAAGAGTTATGGCCTGGCCATACAGTTTATCTGACCAAAGGGAAAAAGTAGGAGCCCTCTGAGGCCTGAGGAGTGGGTCCTCGCCATGACAAAGAACAAAATGCTGCCACCTTGGCAGGCCCTGGGGACTGGGGGCATTCTCAAGGAACTGGACCCTGGGAAGAGAAGTGGCGGAACTGCTGGAAAGGGAGCCTGGTGGCTTCTCAGCCCCGCCAGCCTGGTCTCTGTGTGCGCATGTGTGAGCTCTTGCTGTCCCCGCAGGCACCCTCTTTTCCCGCTCCTGACGCTGCTGTTTGAGAAATGTGAGCAGGCCACCCAGGGCTCTGAGTGCATCACCTCCGCCAGCTTTGATGTGGACATCGAGAACTTTGTCCACCAGCAGGAGCAGGAACACAAACCCTTCTTCAGCGATGACCCAGAACTGGACAATCTGGTAAAGACCCTCTACCCTACATTTTGACTCAAGTCTTCCCACCCTGATCCCATCCCAAATACCCTAAAAGTGTTCCTTTCATTAATTAATTCAGCAGTAAGTTTTGAGTGTCCACTATGGAACAGGCACTCTGTGTACTACTTCATGGCTGAGAACCAAAGTTTTCTCCACCTCTACCTCTGGTAGCACTGATGCCTGCCCACCTGCTACCTTCCAGTTTGAACAAGTGGAGAGGAAGGACTAGCAGCCAGAATGCCAAAGGGAGCTCTTCTGAGTTTGCACAGAGAGCTGGTAGCTGTGTGCTAACATGGTTGTCGAAGGAGGCAGATGTGTGGGGGTAAGAAGCATGCATGTTCAAGCGTATCAATACGGAGGAAGACCTGGGCTCCTAGGAGATTTAGCCGAGGTTCTGCCCTCTTATTGGAAACCGTAGATCATGTCTCCAAATTGTTTGCCACTCAGATAAGCACTAAATCCTGTAAAATACAAGTTCCTGGGCTGTACTGTGGAACTGTGTGTGATCTACTCCCTTTGTAGATTCAAAGGGAGCCTGTGAATCTACATTTTATATTTCCAAGGCAACTGCCATCATTGGCTTTGGTGGCTTCCAGGTTGAATGGAACCTGAAATCCTTACCTAGCCTGGAAATCCCACATAATTGCACATCACCTAGCGCTAACAGTCACATCTGAGGTGTTGGAGAGGCCACTGAACTTGCCCATCATACTGAGTAGTCTCCTGGAATTGTTATTCTTGGGACAATTTTTTCTGTGGGTGAACTACCCAGATTATCAAAGTGAATTTGGAAACTCTGAAAATCTTCCTCCCCCCCCCCAAAAAAAAAACCCTCTTCTACCCAGAGTTTAGGTGATTCCCACTCCCCAAAAAAGAACAGAATCAGGGAAGTAAAGGTGGCTAGAAAAAGAAAGTATAACTACATGTTCTCACTCACATATGCATGAGTACATACATGTACACGTACACACATAGTTAGCACATGTACAGAGCAGATGAGTGACTTTGGTATTATTCTGGGCTGAAAATTATTCACACTGCTGCTCCTCTTGGTGTTCAGTGCAGAACTTTATGGAGTCTAAGATAGCTACCAGGAGCACCCATCCTTCCCTGGAATTTTGTGGCCTCAGACATGGGAGAAGTATAAATTGAAGCACTGAAAGACCCAACTCTACCTCTGCTTATCTCTGGCCTCCCTCTTCCCTGGCTGGCATTAAAGCCAGGTGCAGCCTCTAAGATCCCCAGAAAACTTCCATGGTGCTGGTGGTTGGGCTGGTGATGGTGACAGAGGGCCAGGCTGGCTTAGCCCTGCCCTGCTCTTCAGCTAGTCAGAATCAGAAGATTCTGCAATTTGGAAAGGATATCTTCAAAATCTGGCCTCAGGCATTGATGCAGCCAGGAGGCAGCTCTCTCTAAAAGTTGGGATAGACTTGGGACAGGGCCCACTGCAGTGCACACACAAAAAATGAGCCTAGCACCCCCATTTATTGTCTGTATGGTCTTGATGACTGAACCCCTTTGAAGCTTAGTTTCCTCATCTGTACTTCTAATTGCACCTATCTCATGTGACTTAAATAAATTAATGGGATGGCTCATAGACTTGGCCTTTAAAAATGCTTTGCATCTGAAAATTAATCTCAGTGTGGTACAATGTTCTAGATTGCCCACCTTTGCCTCCTGGCTCTCAAAGACACAAACAGAATAGTCAGGAGCCTGAAACTTTTAGGGTAGTGTTAGGGGAATCCAACAGTGCCCTTTGCCGCTGGTTTCTAGCCCTATGTCAAAAAGAGGCGACTCAGAGGCCAAGCACAGGAGCCATCATTAGGACAAGAATCATGTCGCCAGCACAGCCGAGATGCACATAATTAGAAATTAGAAAAAGGTCAGATCCCGTTATTACCAGCTCAATCAGCTGCCGAGTGCCACAGCCAGTTAATTTGGCATCTGTATTTTTTACAACCCCGCACACGTAGCCCAACGGACTGTAACTCTTTCTCCGGACAGATATACTGCGCAGCCGAGCAGGGACATAAAATGAGGGACCCCAAGCAAATGAGCTGAGATAATTGAGAGATTTATTTTTTATATATGTGTGTGTGTGAGGGCAGCTTTCCTTTGCCCTTGAATATTGACTTTCATAGATGAGATTGTCAGGAGGGCACTTGGGTCCCCCAAATCTTTGCCGTCAGAACACCCTCCTCCAGCTTCTCTCTGACCCTCCCCTGCTTTCTCCCACCTCTTGAACAGCCCCTAACTGTTCTTCCTTTCTCCCCATAGCCCTTTGCCTGTAGCACCCTCCCGTTCTTCTCCCAGAGCCGCTTTTCCAGACAAATCTCCATGGAAACAGCTGAGTCAGCTCTCCCAGAGCCGCCCCAAATATCCGAGACAGGATCCCAGTTAGAGATTTCTGTGGGAGGGAATTCTGTAACCTCGATGCTCCACAGCGCCTCTACTGGGAGGAAAACATAACTACAAAAAGGTTGGAGTTAAGAGACCCAATCTTAGGAAGGAGTCCACTCCACTCTTTTTACACATCAGCGACCTTCGTATCCACAGAAAGAGCCCTGGCCATTGATTCCTGATTTTGTGCTCCTCCCACTAGCATTCCGCATCTGCCTGGTGACAATAAGGCCTTCACTTGCAAATAGAGAATGACAGCAATAAATGTCTCCCTGGAGTCCCAACTGGGACCTTCCCTACGTCCGTTTCTGTGACATGAGGGCAGCTCTCTGCTCTCAGGTGGTTAATCTGGAATCCGTGGTGAGCCCTGATCTACTACAGTTCTTAAACCAGGCGCTTTTCTTACCTGGCCTCCAGATCTGATCCCCTCCTTGAGCTCAGCAGCCTCTGACTGGCACTTGGTAAAGTTTGTAAAATTTGCAAGTTCCCCAAACCCCTTTGAAAGGTAAAAGCTTTTTGTTTTATAAAATCTGATTTATGGGCCCCCAGTGCAAGGCCAAGGTTTTATATATTATGCAAGATTTCAAACTAAGGCTGTAAAACGTACGGTTTCAGTTTCATGCATGGAATTTTTTTATGTGTAAATTTTTTAACATTTATGGGGCACGTTTTAATGAGACTCTGGTGTGGCTCCAGGGACAGATTATAGCTGCCTGACCGCAAAGCCAGTTCCAAAATGGGGCCTTCCAGGCCCCTGGGCCTACTCTGAAGAGGCAGGCCTGGAGGCCAGAGGCTAGGAATGAGGAGTCACATGAAGGAGGCAGCCCAGAGCTGTAAGCCTACAGAGACCTCAGCCAGCCCTGATCTGAGAGTTACTCACCTCAGCCTCCAGCCCAGGCTTTTTGCCTAGCAGGGAACTGAGAACCTCACGACACCAGGAAAAGGAAAGGAAATAAGAATATCAATGATAATAATAATTAACATTTATAGACCACTTACGGTACCAGGTGCTATTCTAAATTATTTGCATCTATTATCTTATTTAAAGCTCACAAAGCTTAATATTAATATTAATATTAACAATATTATGACCATTTGGCTGGAGGCACTTGGTTCAATTCTCAGAACACTCCTCTCTCTCTCTGTCTGTCTGTCTGTCTGTCTCTCTCTCAGTGTGTGTTTGTGTGTGAGGCTTTCACTGTGGTGGCCTGGAGCTCATAAATTCTGCTACACTGGCTAAGAAGTGCCAGGGACCCTCTGCCTCTGACCCCCAGCCCTGGGATTACAAGTGTAGGCAACCACACCCATCACTTTTATGTGAGTGCTGAGGCTAGAACTCAAGTCCTAATGCTTGTGCAGCAAGCTCGTTACCAACTGAGCCATCCCAGCCCTATAGTCCTCATTTTAAGATGCACAGGATTATGGTTCTATGGACAAAATAGAAAAGAGAACTGAAATACAGTCCCAACTCTAAATTCTCACACACACACTTACACAAAGAGAGAGAGAGAGAGAGAGAGAGAGAGAGAGAGAGAGAATGTCTTCTGACATTTCTAGGTCTTGCTTTAGTTCTTTTCTAGCCACATCTCATTTAATCCTCAGTACACTTTTATTTATTTATTTATTTATTTATTTATTTATTTATTTATTTATTTATTTGAGACAGGGTTTCTCTGTGTAGCCTTGGTTGTCCTGGAACTCACAGAGATCCACCTGCCTTTGCCTCCCTAATTGCTGGGATTACAGGTGTGCACCACCACACCCAACTGAGAGTCACTTTTTATTTATTTTGTGCTAGAGGTCAAATGTAGGACCTTGTGTGTGTTAGGCAAGCACTCTGTCACTATGCTCCACCCCAAGACCAGTAAATCACTGTTACCTCATTTTACAGGTGAGGAAACTAAGGTACAGACATTAAAATCTGTTCAAGGCCTCAAGTAGGGAGACAGAAACCTTTCAGCCTCCAAAACCATCTTTTTGAGTTCCCCACATGGCTCTTCAGAGTCTCATACAGCAGGGAGCTGTTATCCCCATTTAGCGAAGAGAGAAAAATCAAGAACCATGTATCTTGTAGCTAAGAAGTTACATAGTTGGACTTAAAGAAAGCTTGTCAGACTGGAGAAGCCTCAGCCTGTATACTCCAGCCCCTCATCACCAAATTTTGATGCCATCTAAGCGGAAGTGCCAGTGCTTGACACAAATGTGATTTAACTTACCATGCATGATAGTTTCCATAAAATAGCCAGTTGTCTGCCTGTCCCACAGCTCCTGTCATTCACCTGTCTTCCATGTTCCCTTTTTTATTCTAGTGACCCTGCACTCCCAACTAGCCAAGCCAAGCTGGCACAGGCTGGAAAAATTCTTCAGTAGAACTTAGCTTTCACTGCTCCAGTGACCCACAGGAAATTTCAGCTCCAAATTTAGGAATGTATGTTTATAAACTCCTTCCCTATATGGGCATCCACCTTCCCAATTTGCAGAAAGAGAAAGTGGAAGGAGCTTGCCCCCAAGGCAAGGAATGGAGCAGGCTGTCTGATCTCCAAGCCTCTGCTCCCTTATCTTTAGCAGAGTGATGGATAATCTTG